GCTGGATTGGCCGCTGCTGTTAGGCTCTCCGAGGATCCATCAGTCAGCGTCGCAGTGCTCGAAGCGGGTCTTTGGAGGCCTGAAGATCCGAAGGTGCGTGCAGGCCTCTGGCGATATACCACAACACTACGACTTGCTCACTCGAGACTTGCACTCTCCTTTCGCCCGCAGATCGACTACCCCATCATGATGGCTCAAGTTTTCGGTGACAAGAACTATGACTGGTGCATCAAGACCGTGCCGCAGACAAATGCCAATAATAGACAGGTCGATTGGCCAAGAGGCAAAGTGCTGGGTGGTTCTTCGGCTCTGAATTTTATGGTCTTTCAACGTGGACACAAGCGCGAATTGTGAGTGGAGCGCGCCATCTCCTGCAAGACGGATGTCTAAGCAGTGCGCGATCTTATGTACATGCCTTGCGACGACAGCGACGACATCGAGAGCATCGGCAACCCTGGATGGGGCTGGGATGCCATGCTTCCCTTTTACAAGAAGACGGTCAACCACGCAGCTCCAGTCCACCTGCCCGACCCACATCTTGCATACTTGGACGACGATGCGGCCAATGGCGGAGGACCCATTAATGTGAGCACCTGACCTGGCGTTCGCCCTTCCATCTGCTGAGGCCGACGGCGATATTTCGTCCTCGCTAGACTTCCTTCTCGTGCTGGTATGCCGAGCCTCACAAATTGTGGATTCAAGCCTTGCAAAGACTTGGCTTGCAAGGTGAGTTTTTGCGCACCCTGAGTAATGCAAATCGCAGTCTCAGACCATCACCTTCAATGCCTTCAATCCAGCGAACAAGAGCTCCCAGGCAGGCGCCAATGCCGGTCTTTGGGCAAGCTCTGGATCGATTGATGCCAATACCGGCAAGCGAAGCTATGCCGCCAATGTGCGTACAGTCGTAAAAATTTCAAGCCCGCTGCTTGAGTAGAGACTGATGTTTTGTCCAGCCAATTCTACATCAGTCCTACTATGCTCCGGTGGCCAGCTCTCGTACGAATCTCAAAGTCCTCTGCGGAGCTCTCGCCACTCGCATTACTCTGTCCGATGATGCGGAGAAGCCAACAGCCGAAGGAGTCGATTTCGTCATGGAAGATGCGACCACGAAGAAGCTTACTGTACGTGCGAGCAAGGAGGTCATTCTGAGCGCCGGAACGATCAAGACTCCCCAACTTCTCGAGCTGTCTGGCATTGGACGAAAGGAAGTGTTGGAGAAAGCTGGCATCAAACAGCGTGTGGATCTGCCTGGGGTTGGCGAAAATTTGAGCGAGCACATCTACCTTGGCTGCGCCTACGAGGTACAAGACGGCACTGTGACTTGGGACAAGATGCGCGATGCCGAATTTGCGGCTCAGCAGATGCAACTCTAGTGAGCCACAGCGATTTGCGGTGATTCCTTGTCACTTGTAGCTGATTCGCCGAGATTTCACGCGAAACCCAGCACGGGCAAAGGACCAGACAAAGGTCTGATCGGATCGTTCGTGAGCGGCTTTGCCTACTTCAACTTGCAAAACTACCTCTCTCCCGAGGATCAGAAGCTCGTGCATCAACAGATCGATGAGACCGACCAGACTGGTTGGAGCAGCGGCATGAAGGAGCTTCACGCTTTGCAGAAGAAGCGATACGACGATCAGACGGTGCCGGCAATGGAGCAAATGTTTGCCCCTGGATTCTTTGCTCACAGCGGACCACCAAAGGAGGACAAGTCCTACTTCACTCTCCTCAGCGCTCTTCAGCACCCTTGGAGTCGTGGAAGCATTCATGTCAAGTCAAGTGATCCTTTTGCTCATCCGGACGTTGACCCTCGATACTTTTCTAGCAAGGCGGACCTGACCATCCTCAGCAAAGCTCTGGCTTGGAACGACAAAGTCGTCAGCCAAGAGCCTTTGAAGGAGGTGGTCAATGTGAGGCAGGAGCCCAAGCCCGAGTTGGTAAATGAGAAGCACGAGGATTGGGAGAATGTGAGTGAGATGCGCTTGGACTGCGCACGAAATCTCGGACTGCGAGCCGCTGACACTCTTTTGGACGTTTTTGCAGGCGGTCAAGGGTTCATTCCAGACGACCTATCACCATCTCGGTACCGCGTCCATGATGCCTCGCGAGAAGGTGAGTGGTGCGTCCTTTCGGTTGGGCGCCGTGAGCATCCCCTGAGCGCTCTTTCGCATTCGTAATCTAGGGCGGCGTTGTTTCTCCCTCGCTTCAAGTATACGGCGTCAAGAAGCTTCGTGTGGCAGATGCCAGCATCTTGCCCTGCCAGCTCAGCGCGCACATCCAGGCCACCGTGTACGCCATCGGAGAGAAGCTGGCAGACATTCTCAAGAAGGAGCAGTCATCCGACGTGCAGAAGCTCGATATCGCTGGCATTTCCATCTCTGCTTGAGCTGCGCTCCGTCCGAGCAGTGCATGGCGAGCCACTGCGTCGACTTGATCCTTCACCTCCCATCGAAAGGTCTCAATTGGCGTTTCGCTAGCGAAGCGAATCCTGCAGCTTTTCATCCCATCACCAACGAAGCTGCTCGACAGTGCGCACAACTCCTTTCTCGAATCCCGCTCGCCTTGTCCCCCCATCTCGCAGGTCCAACTTTCAGCACGCTCCGCCCAAACGCAACATTCACATTCACGTAGAGACGAAGTTCTAAATGGCACCACACCACACAGTAGCACTAGTGGTAGTACTTAGCAGCAGCAGCAGCAGCAGCAGTAGTAGTAAAAGCAAAGCAATCAAATGTAACTCATCATCGCGCGAATCACAAAGTGCGCGCACGTCTGGGCAGGTTGTATTATCCATGTGCGAAAGCTAGGCCGACGCAAGTAGAGAGAAAGAGCCTTAATTGCGGCACCGAAGAAGGCTGTTTGACAATGCGTCGAGTGTTGAGCAGTTCCATGGGGGGTGTTCAAAGAGTGTTGCGGCCTTCTAAAAGAACGCAGGTGGGTAGCATGTTGGGCATCATCATGCAACGGCATTGACGACCTGGGGGTATTGTTGACGGACTGTAGAAAGGCAAAAAGCGAGAGGGT